CTAGGAGTCTAGAAACCTAGGAATCTAGGAAACTAGGGATCTAGCGATCTAGCGACCTAGGGATTTAGAGATCTAGGGATCTAGGGATCTAGGAATTTAGGAATCTAGGTATCTAGGAATCTAGGAATCTAGGAATTTAGGAATCTAGGAATCTAGGAATTTAGGAATTTAGGAATTTAGGAATTTAGAAATATAGGAATCTAGGAATCTAAGAATCTAGAAAGCTAGTGATCTAGTGATCTAGTGATCTAGGGATCTAAGAATCTAAGAACTTCGGAATCCATGGACTTTAAAACACAGAAATTCCGAAATATTTTAGAAATACTATTTCGATTTAATCATTCGAAGCTACACGTACTTTCTACCACAATTGAATTCTCACACAATTCTACTACTTTTGTAAACATGTAACAGCGAGTTGTAGTATCATTGAATACAAGTGTAAAAAGGTCGAAATCATGTTTCGCACGACCTTCGACCCACACTCTTGTATTAGATCGATTATTCAAGTGCGATCTAAACGTCTCACTTCGCCTGTATTCGCAGATTCTCTCAAGGCTTTATCGAAAAGAGTCTTTCACGTACAGCGATCGAGCAATAAAGAGAGAAGAAGACGTTCAACGAGCGATTGCTCAAGAGAAACGAGGTGGTCAAATTCAAGTACCTCTTGCAATTAACAATAATAATTCGTTTCTCGCGTTACTTCTACGCTTTGCGTCACTCTTCATAAATGTTACGGACATTTCGAAAGTAGACAGTGCCAATGAAGCCGATTAACATTCGTTAATCAAACATGTGTACAGCGAAATAAAGCTAATAGATATACACTGCTCGACAAAAGAATCGAATCATTTATTTCAAATTTTATTTCACTTTGAATACTTTCGAAACAATTTTGATCAAATTTTGTGGATTAAGACTCTGATACTTGTAATTTGCTGCAAATCTCACTGTACGTACATATACCTATGATGTTCTTCAGGTTGATCAACGTTCTTATCTTTATGAAAATAAGATGGCCATCTTTTTAATACTGCTTGTATCTTTTTGTATTAGCTGAAGAACCCTATTATACTTGACATTGTTCCTCTTATTAAGGCACCCTAAAGTGCAAGCTGCATTTATGATAAAGTACCCCAAAATGTATGCTGTATTTCTAAAGCATCCTAAAATACGAGCTGTACTTTTAACAAGGTATAAAGTGTAAGCTGTATGGTTAATAAGGTACCCCAAAGTGTAAGCTGTATTCTTAATAAGATACCCTAAAAAGTAAACTGTAAGAAACTATAACAAAGTACCCTAAAAGTTATATTTTCAACAAGGTAGTCTGAAAGGTGTCTCACCAAAGAAACCAAAATGATGGAAGGTAGACATTTTTTAATTAATAAGTTCAAAATTAATTTTTTGCTAACTTTTCAGGTATAGTTAATAAATTATATTTGTAGTACTGAGTACTAATTTTTTACTAAATAATATTGTATATTATTTTCTGAAGTTATAAATATTTGAAGGATTTGCAGTATAAATAATTTTAAATTCTAAAATCACATCCCCCATTTTGAACATCCCGATTTAAACATGAAATCCACATTATTCAATTTACAGAATTCACCCTAAAACTCTGTGTACCCATGAATTGAATAAACGTCGCCTACTAACAAAAACGAGATAAATTCTTGTTCAACTCAATGAAAAGCAAAAAGAAAATCACTTCCGGACATATGCTTCAGCGTACATAAGTGGTCCCGTACTTTTGAACAATGGTGTAGTTAAGCTCAATTAGTCACTGCTACTCGTTTAGTTATTTCACCAGCGAACGTCTTTGTTACGGTAACACGGAATGATGGCATCAATGAACGATGCAGGTGCAAATATGTGAGCACACAGATCGGTGGAGAACAGTGAACTCACGTTTGCGATGATTACGACCGATCATTGTATCGAAGGTTCTTCACCTCAAATGAGAATCTTCGCGAATCTCGATGACGCTGACGTCAGCGATACTTTGCGCAACATTTTACAATTATATTTTTTTTGTTTCAGTATTATTTTTATGTAATAACCTGTTGACCGGAACGAATTGCCTTCTTTTCTTTGGTTCTTAGAAAAAGGAGTGTTTTATTAAACCATTCAAACACTTGATATGAAGTGTGATAACTTTTAAGATACATTATTGCATCATGGTCGTTTTGGTTCAATAGTCAATTTAGTTAGTCACTATAATACATTCTTATTATATTGGACAGGTTTGTAGCTGTGGACAATTTTTGAAACTGATAATATATTTGGGTACTTTTGATATTATAGTGGTTTTTATGGATTTAGGTGTTTTATGATGATGGAAAAGAGTTGATAGATGCTACGCGTGGCGATACAATGTGTGGTGATACAATGAGAGAGTACTAAATGCATGAGAATTCAATATGTGACGATACAACGCTTGATTACACAACGCATGGTTATATAATACGTAACGATGTAATACGTTGCAATATAATACGTGGCGAAACTACACGTGGTGAAATTATGCGTGACTATACAATGCGTGGAAATTCAGTACGTAGGCGCCCAACGCGTGCCGATACGATACATGACTATATAACGCGTGGCAATATAACGCGTGGTGATATAACGCGTAGCGATGTAACGCGTAGCAATGTAACGCGTGGAAATTTAACTTGTGACAATACAACGCGTAGAAATTCATCTCGCGACGATGCAACGCGTAGAAATTGAACTCGTGACGATGCAACGCGTGGAAATTCAACATGTGGCGATGCAACGCGTGGAAATTCAACATGTGACGATGCAACGCATGAAAATTCAACGTGTGACAATGCAACGTGTGGAAATTCAACGTGTGACAATGCAACGCGTGAAAATTCAACGTGTGGCGATGCAACGCGTGGAAATTCAACGTGTGACAATGCAACGCGTAGAAATTCAACGTGTGACAATACAACGCGTAGAAATTCAACATGTGACAATGCAACGCGTGGAAATTCAACGTGTGACGATGCAACGCGTGGAAATTCAACGTGTGACGATGCAACGCGTGGAAATTCAACCTGTGACGATGCAACGCATGACCATACAACGCGTTGCAATATAATGCGAGGAAAAACACTGACTCTGCAGCGTGTGGAAGTCACCGCATAGAGATTCAACATGCAATGATATAACGCGTGACTCCACATCGCCCTGTAATATAACATATGGCAATATATCGCGTGGCGATTACAATATACGGCGTTATAGTGCATGGTGATACAAAACGTATTGATTCAAAGCGTGATTAAAGAATATATTGAGATCCAGCATAGGAATGCAATACGCGACGATACAACGCATAATCATACTAGACGAGCAACTATGCAAATCACTGAGTTAATCTTCTTCCTTCAATTTTGAAATCTTTCCTGATTTCGTGAAACCTTGAACAATCATTGCATAAAATTTAGATAATTTGTCAATTCTAATCACCCCTCGTTCTGAAACCTCAAATAACTGTCATAAGAGTTCTCCGGACATTCATTATCCCAAGGATATTTACATTTTTCTCACGCTATATTACTCGCAATTACAATGCATGTGAAGCATTTAGCAACCTGGTAAAAAGCTTTCACGTTTTAGCCATCAAGCTAATACTACAGTTATTTATGGTCATTTGGACTCCACCATGAATTAAGCCTGTTGCAAGGGATGAAGCAAGGTACCATCGTCTTGTCAATTTATGACCGGGTAATTACGTCGCTTCTCTTTGCGGAGAAGCAAAATCTTCCAACTTGTTAATAACTTAATTATAGAAAATTGTGGAAATTATTGCGTGATGTAGTATGGGGATCGGTGTCGGTAATTGGGTGACAAATTATTTGGCGAAATGAAGTGCCGATGTGGAGATATGGGGATTTGAGATTTAGGAATTTCGAGATACGATGATGTACGGACTTAGGGATTTGGGGATTTTGGAACTTCATAAATTTTGGGATTTGGGGAGTTTGAGAGTTTAGGAGTTCGGAATTTTGGGATTTTGAGATTTGAGGACTTGCGTATTTGAGCATTTAGAGATTTTGGCATTTTTGAATTTGAAGTTTGGGATTTTTAGATTTTGTCATTTTTAAGTTTGGGGTTTGAGAATCTTGGGATTCTGAGATGTTCACATTTTTGAATTTGGGGTTTGAGGATTTGGTGATTTAGACATTTTAGAATGCGGAGTTTAGAGTTCTGAGAATTTGGTGACTTGTAGATTTTAACATTTTTGTAGCAAAGGATTTGGAAACTTGATAATATATGATTTTAATAATTTGAGGATTTAGAGATTTCAAGATAAAAACATGAGCTTACAAGGACTTGTGGATTTATACATTTATAAATTTGAGTATTCGAAAGCCTAAAATATTTTCAAATTTGATTATTATAAAACACCTACTGTATTACAATAAAGCTACCATACCGTAAGTAACATACACCAACAAGGTTGAGTTCTTCTATCTTTACCGATCAGTTCTCCAGCAGACCCAGCAACCATAAAATCCGAATTTGAATTAATTAAAAAACGCAAGAATTGCTTAAGTTTTCGTATCCATCCATTAGATAATATCTATCGCATATTAGATGAGAGTTTCTTTTAACCATAAGATCTCTCCAATTTTAGCATCAACGTTTCAATCAGTAACCGTTACGTAACTGATCAGCGAAAGGGTTAAGGACGATCATCCTTAAGTCCTTCGGTATCATTCACGGGTGTCGAAGTTGGACCTTTTCAGACCTCCTACATCGTCTCGTCCTTCTTGCGATCGATCCACTCTCACTTTCTCCTTCTCTGTCTCTTTTTCTCTCCTCCCTCTATCATTTCCCCGTCCATCCTCATCTCTCTCTTTCTCTCACTTTTTCCTCGTCCGTTCTCGAAGAGTTACAGCATCCTCTCGTGGTCGTCGGTTCGCAATAATCGCATGGACCGAACGTTGCTTTTGCCCCCACCAGCGAATCGGGTGAATCCTATAAATGCTCTCCACGTTACCTCGAGACGAAGAAGTCACCTCTCCCGGGACACCAAGCACCCGCGAGAACATGCGTCCGTCTTGATCGTGTCCTGTTATACGGTGACCAGTGTTCGGTTTGAAAACCGGCAAACTAGATCGCGATACGAAACATGGTAAGTAAAGTGCGACCGAGGATCAAGTGTAACGTGTGAACAGCCGTGGGGGTTGCTCGGGGGATCTCGTCAAATTTTGATCACCGTTTGTGCATCAACTGTTTGGAATATCTGTCGTGAAAGTGTCGATATTGAGGACTGGTGGTGCGAAAGGGTGTCTTCGATATTCGTTGTGCTTCTGCGATTACTACTTTCTGAATCCTTTGCGGATCGTACTTTTCGTGTTCACGAATTATCGTAGAAAGTTCAGTTTCTCTTTCAACCGAGTTTTTGAGGTATATGTAAAATTAGAGGTTTGGAGATGAATATGAAAAGGGAGTATTGAAGATGAATGTAAAAATGGAGTTTTGAAGATGAATGTAGAGGTTGAATTTTTAAGACAAATGTAAATATAGCATTTTGAAGACGAGTGTATAGATGGAGTTTTAAAAATGCACGTAAAGATAGAGTTTTTAAGACAAGTTTAAAAATAAAATTTTTATGATATTTGTGAGGATGGAATTTTGAAGACAAATTTAAAGATGAAGTTTCGGTGATGAATGTAAAGATACAGTTTTAAATATAAATATAAAAATACAATTTTGAAGATATTCGTACACATAGAGTTTTGAAGATAAATATGAAAATGAAGCTTGAAAATAAAAATAAATGTAGGACTAAAACTTGAAGCTAAATGTAAAACTAGAATATTGAAAATAAATGTAAAAACGAAACTTGAAGATAAAATTAAAGGTAGAGCTAAAATTTGAAGCTAACCGTAAAACTAGAATTTTTGAGATAAATATAAAAATGAAGCTTGAAAATAAAAATAAAGCTGGAACTAAAACTTGTAGCCAAATATGAAGCTAGAATTTTGAAGTTAAATATAGTCACATAGTTTTGAATATAAATGTAAAGACTTTGAAGATAAATATAAAAATGAAGCTTAAAAATAAAAATAAAGCTGAAACTAAAACTTGTAGCCAAACATGAAGCTAGAATTTTGAAGCTAAATATAGTCATATAGTTTTGAATATAAATATAAAGACTTTGAAGCTAAATATAAAAATGAAGCTTGAAAATGAAAATAAAGGTAGAGCTAAATTTTGAAGCAAAATATGAAGCTAGAGTTTTGAAAATAAATATAAACATATAGTTTCGAATATTTTGAATCTAAATACGAAAATAGAGTTTCCAAAATAAATGTAAAGGTAGAGTCTGAAGGGTGAATGTGTTTCATAGATGAATGTAAAGGGGTAGTTCTAAAGATAGACATAAAAATCGAGTTTTAAGGTTGGTACATGTGATTTTCGAGTTCGTGTGCCGCAATCACTTTCGTCCCTGCAGAACAACGTTTCTACTGGCGAGCTCAACGCTTGGTATTTACACGTACGAGACGCTGTACTGCCTCGCAGAAATTAATAGCGAGATGCAAGCGTCAGCCAGCTGTTAGCGCGCGAAATATCAAAGGTTATCATTGTTCCTTAACCTGAAATCCGCCTTTCTGGAGCCTCCGTTTTCTGGCCTTTGCTTTCCACCGTTCGACGTTGACGATAACGTCAAGTAGAGAGAAAAATTACCCTCCGATGAAAGTAGCTCACATACAGAGAGAATTCGATCGCCTGTAGAAAAGGTTCGGAGTGAAGTTCTTGAAATAGACGTGTTGTAATCGCAGTATGGCGATGAAAGCATCTGACGATGGAGAGAGAATTGTTGTACTGTTACTTTTTCAATTTGTATTATTTTTGGGGTGTTAAGGAGTTACGAGTTAAGGGGTGGAAAGCTTCAATTTTTAAATCTTCGAGTTTAGAAGTATGAAAGTTTGAAGGTATTTTGAGAGTCGGTTTACTGATTTAAGAAATTTAGAAATATGTAAATTTAATAATTTGGAAGGTAGACATTTTTGAATTAGTAAGTTCAAAATTAATTTTTTGCTAACTTTTCAAGTGTAGTTAATAAATTATATTTGTAGTACTGAGTCGTAATTTTTTACTAAGTAATATATAATTTTCTGAAGTTATAAATATTTGAAGGACTTGCAGTATAAAAATTTTGAAATTCTAAAATCGCATCCCCCATTTTGAATATCCCGATTTAAACAAGAAATCCACACTATTCAATTTGTAGAATTCACCCTAAACTCTGTGTACCTATTTTCATCGCGTAAATTATGTTTATCATCGTAAAAAGTATTATATTCAACAGCGTCATTATCATAAAAATTTCTGGAATACCCAGAGTGTCACGCCAAACATTCACACCAAGCATAAATTCTAGAAACGCATAATTTGCGACATAGACCTATTCAGCCACATATTTAACAAGGTTCTATTCGATCGATAAACTTCGTCCCCGAGGGTACGATTATCTAAATTGATTTCGATCGTAATCTCTTGTTCGTCGTGCGTTTGGTGAAAAGTACCTTCACGATCACGTAACATAGAAATTTTCGTCCGAAAGGTCAATCTGTCGTAATTGTTTCGTAAAAATCACGAGCCATCGAAATATTCGATTCGTGTATCATTAGATGCCTCTCAACGATGATGTAACTCATCAACCGTGTCAGACAAGTCCACTAAAGAATCATTCTATCGAATAAATATTCTCGACTAATTCATACACGTAATTAACTAATAACTATAGCAGTTAGTTTACTTTCCTTTTGCTTGCACGTGCGTACAATCTTCTCACGATTAATGTGACGCAATTCGATGTTACTACATTGTGGGAACTACAGATCGTAGCTGCGATACTTAATACGAAATAAAAAAGAAGAACAAAGATGTAGCACCGTTTTCCGATTTCATTGCTGTTGCATCTGTCGGATTCTCAGAGACTTGTACAATTGCCCAACGAATTTGCGTTCCATACAAAATGGTGCATCAATGAATATTGTTAATATCGATAATCCGTTTGGTGTCGAGATTTCGAAAGCGTGTGGTCATGGTGTAGGTAGTTAATTACACCGAGGTAATTGATGCTGTCAATTAATTGAAATTCGCTCGTCTACTGAAACGGTGATTACTACTTGTACTCCCTTGGTGTCATGGTACAACTTAAGAGGATCTTGATCGATTTAATCGGGTGAGAAATTAACGCACGCTTGTTCTTCACACCCGATTATATCGCGAGTTACCTAATTAGCCTATTTGTTGGAAGAAATTTTTCATGTTTTATAATTGGGCTTATTTTTGACTTTATATACTTTTCAAGATCTTGGGTTTTGGAAGTTGACAATTTTAAACTTTCCAAATTTATTAATTTTCATATTTGAAATTGGCAAATTTTAATATTACTAATTCTCACATTGATAAATTTCTACATTTCTAGATTTTATAGATTTTATAGATTTTGTAGATATTATAGATTTCATAGATTTTATAGATTTTATAAATTTTATAGATATTATAGATTTTATAGATTTTATAGATTTTACAGATTTCATAGATTTTATAGATTTCATAGATTTCATAGATTTCATAGATTTCATAGATTTTACAGATTTCATAGATTTCACAGATTTCATAGATTTCATAGATTTTATAGATTTCACAGATTTCATAGATTTTATAGATTCCATGGATTTGATAGATTTGATAGATTTGATAGATTTGATAGATTTCATAGATTTCATAGATTTCACAGATTTCATAGATTTCATAGATTTTATAGATTTTATAGATTTCATAGATTTCATAGATTTCATAGATTTCATAGATTTCATAGATTTTACAGATTTCATAGATTTCATAGATTTTATAGATTTCATGGATTTGATAGATTTGATAGATTTCATAGATTTCATAGATTTTATAGATTTCATGGATTTGATAGATTTGATAGATTTCATAGATTTCATAGATTTTATAGATTTCATGGATTTGATAGATTTGATAGATTTCATAGATTTCATAGATTTTATAGATTTCATGGATTTGATAGATTTGATAGATTTCATAGATTTCATAGATTTTATAGATTTCATGGATTTCATAGATTTTATAGATTTCACAGATTTCATAGATTTTATAGATTTCATGGATTTGATAGATTTGATAGATTTCATAGATTTCATAGATTTTATAGATTTGATAGATTTGATAGATTTCATAGATTTCATAGATTTCATAGATTTTATAGCTTTTCAAGGTTTCTAGGGTTCTAGGGTTCTAGGTTTCTAGGTTTCTGAATTAAAAAATTTGTTAATTTCCGCATTCCTAAATTTCTAAATTTCTGAATTTCTGCATTTTCATTTTTTTTAACTTTTCCAAATTTCTTCAGTTTCCCTCATTTGTCAAATTTCCTAAATTTTTCATATCTTCCATATTTTCTAAATTTGTCCAATTTTTTAAATGTACATCCATCAATGCAATATAATACAATGTAAAAATAATATATTTAAAAAATATTTATTGGAATAACTGATAACAATAATATCTTAACAACATATATGTTTGTATATCATTTTATCTGACTCTTAATTTCTCCAAAAATGAATGCACCTTTTCTCTAAATTATTTTACTTAGTCTGAATTAAAAATATGATACAAATCGTCCTCAAAATTGTTCATAAAACGACAAAATTATTCACAAGACTCTAACGAACATATAGGATATAGTTATCCAAAACAAGCAACTTGCAAAAACTGGTATAGAAAGTATTTCCACGATAAACTCTGAAATTTGTATCTTCCCGCCGCGTAATGAGCACGGAAACGTTAATGAGCCATAAAAATAGTAAAATGCATGATGTATCGGAATGCAGTTTTAAACTCTGGATTCTGCTCACGCAACCGGCTCTTCGCAAATTCCTGTTAACGTTCACTTTCGACCGCGACTTTTACGGTTCATCGGTTGTTTCGAAAGAATCGTAGTAAAATCGGCGGAACGTGTTCGACAATCAGCGATTTTTCCGTTGTATATCCAGCCATCGATCCTTCGAAAATCTTTGCATCATTATAAAGACGCAAAAAGCCTCGCGACGTCCGATTACGAAATTTTGGGCCTCTCTCTCCGATCGG